CATCACCAACAGTTTATCATTCTTACCTAATATTCTACTCTTAACGTAAACAGTGATAATACAATTTGATTACTCTATCAACCAATTCTCTAATAAAAGCTAACTAAAGTAAATTACAAGTTTAAAAGAAGTAGAAAAAGAAGCAGTTCAGTAACCAACTGACTCCTATAAAAACTATTATCATCAACAACAAAAAATATTACTATTTTGATGAGCTAATAATCAGTTTTGGGTTAACGATGAAGCATACCGTAATGAAGAAGAAAAAAAAGATGAATCTTATAGTAGTGTATGTAGATACGCACACATACATGCAAACATACAAATACATACAACAATATATGTATATCATTGTATAAGATAGTTTATCATTAGATCGATTTTTGATTATATCATTTCTAGAAGATTCGTTTTCTTGTGTTTGTTTTTTTTCTTTTTTTTAAAGAAAGGAAACAGTTAAATAAATCTGTAACTATCATCAAAAGGAATTTATAAATAGGATACTCATTTATCTATAATAATAATAATAATATTATTATTATAGATTCATATGATACTATACAACAAGCCACTGCTGATGCATCATGCTTGTTTCATACTGATTATTAGATTAATTGGTATAGTTTTTAGCTAATACAAAATAAACACCCGGTGATTTTGTATAGAGGTTTAAATGAACAGAATGATCGGGGCAACAGGAAAAAAAAAGAATCGAAACAGAAAAGAAAAGAAGAGACAAGGGAATAAGAGTAATAACAACACTTGGACTCCATATGCCACTATTGGTTATCAGTTATTAAACTGATTGAATTCAAATAAAAAGATTTTTCTTTTATTGTTTGTCTTTAGTTTATATTTTATAATTATAGATTGGATAAAAATTTATTTGCCACAAGACAATGATAATCTTCATGATTACTATCAGTATTATTTGTATCACTGATATGATTACTAGTATTACTATTATGAATCGATATTAGTTGGAGGAAACTAGTTGTTTCATTGTGCTATAACGGAATAGATGAGGAATAAAAATTGAATTTTCGGGATTCTCTTATGAATGAATGATTTATAAATTCAAACTGTATGATAAGAAGTTTTCTACCTGATGTATTTTGTGTTTTGTTCTGGCTATCTGGCGAGTGGGTGGGTATGAGAAAACGACATTCTGGATCAATGATCGTTTAGTATTGATATAGGCTGTTTTCCCACTATTATTATGTTATTGGTTAGCAGAAGGAAGTAGGTACTAGATACACAAAATCTAGACGAATCAATCGGTACTCGGACAAGACCGACGCATCTGCTCTCTTGTACCAAAATTCGATCACACAGGCCTGAAATAACTCAAGGAATCGGTTTTTTTTGTCATATTATGTTTTGTTGGAAGCTACTAAAAAGTGAAAACTAGCGATTACATATAGGACGTAGGAGCCTAAGACCTTTAAATCTTACAAAGATCATGAAAATTTAATACTAGTGAAATGAAAGGTACAGTGATCAGTTTTTGCAGATTTATTTTGTTTACGATAATATGAAGTAACCGAAAGTAAAAGTCATCAGTGAGATTTGTCTCGCTGCTTATTTGGCTAGACTCTCCCCATTAATCACAACATATCACTTCTCTTTTCAAACACAACAGGACCTGCATTGACTTCTATTCTGAGCGGTATTTAATAACGTTTAGATCTACTAATCACACTGCCTCTAGGGCTCCACAGCTGAGGAGCCGTGACGAACTGAAAGACGTCAACTCATACACCTTTCTTTCATACGATGGCTTTATGTCATAAGCTGACTGATTCTCCGCCTTTTTCACTCCAACCATTAGCTGGCAAATATTGCACGATATGAACGTTTCTGGGATAACAGACAGAGTTATTGTATACATTGTTTGAGAAAGAAGCTGAGTGGAGCGAATAAAGCATTTTCTTCATAATTACTCATTATCATATTTGTGAGTGAGCAGCCTGAGCGTCCAGGTTGAATCAGGTTGTTTACTTAGGACAGTACTACCTTCACTTTTAACCTAACCGTCTAATTTATAAACCAGTGAGTAATTCAGGAAATATAATCTCACGACAGGTCTATAAGCTTCTGCTCATGTAAAACATTAGTTTGGAATCAGGGCTTTTCAACTTCTTTGACAGATTTCTCTGTAATCACTGATCCAACTAAAACCCCGCAGATTCGATATCCGTCATCTCAATTAGGTAAACAACAACACCACCGCCATGAAAGCAGTGAGTACGATGTGAATGGCAGTGGGTATAAATGAGTGACCAAACGAGAGCATTTCCAAAGCACAAGCAGTCTTTCTCCGCTCTCGGCCGTATTAGTAAATATCTTTAAAAAAGATGCATACTTACTTCTTTAAATAAAACTTATGAAAATCAATGTCTTTATGTACAACAGTCGTTGTGCTAACGAGATATGGCAACTTGGACCGATCCATATGTGTGCCTGGTCCTACGTTGTAGCTGACTGACTACTGACTGACAACAGTCGTTTTAATAATTTGTTAGGTAATAGAGTAACCGAAAGTATTAGTAAATATCTTTAAAAAAGATGCATACTTACTTCTTTAAATAAAACTTATGAAAATCAATGTCTTTATGTACAACAGTCGTTGTGCTAACGAGATATGGCAACTTGGACCGATCCATATGTGTGCCTGGTCCTACGTTGTAGCTGACTGACTACTGACTGACAACAGTCGTTTTAATAATTTGTTAGGTAATAGAGTGTAAGTAAATTATAAAGCTTAATGCTTATTTTCTAAACTATTGCCTATCCACTAAACTGTTACTAAAAATAAGACTAATTCATATGTAAATTATTTTTATGTTTAGTACTCTACAGAACACTTACAACTTACTACTTCCTAGAAATTTTAAAATCGAGAAAAATTGTACAGCGTAACCATACAATTAATAGTTCACTTCTATGGTCAGTAAAATTACAGAAGTCAAGGGTTATATTTTGAAATAGTTATCAGCAATTTAAAAGTTTTGGTAGCTTCTGCAAAACATAATCAAATTAGTGATAATTTTATTATGTACTAAACCTCATTATAGTTGTGCTTGTTTCTTGAGAAGCGTAGAAAATAGGTCATACATAATGGATATTTAAAAATAACAAGGGATATACAATAGGTATATTATATAAATTTTATTAAAATTGTGTATGTTTAGTACATTTGATATGAGGTTAGCACTAGAATCTAGAGCACGTGTATTGTCCAATTCGGAACTCGTCAGCAAGATGTACCTGCATCTTAGTGTTGGGGTCCATATCAAGGCTTGAGCCCGATACTTTTCGCTCCATACGTTCGACGCGTTATCCCCTAAGCTACTGAATTGTTCAATGTGTATGAAAGTATTAGTGGTGACTTGTAAATTCCTATTCCTGGTATTTAGGACTGTAATTGATCTTTGTTGATAAATATCCATCCTGAGCGGATTAGCTCGATAAAGCATTATGTAACGAGTCTAGTATTATTGTGTTATAGTTCATTAAACTCTTACCAATTGCAATTAGACTCATACACATACTAAAGCAACAATGCTCATTAACTTCATTTAGTGTGGAATTCAATACATTGTACAAACTAATCAAACAGAGGAAGGTAATAAATATATCTTCAATGTTTAAACAATATATATATATATGCATACAAGCGGTATAATATAATAGTGTTAATTCCTAGTGTAGTTGTAGGTGGACAATGCCGAAGATTCTCATATTAAGATGAAACTACTACCCAGTTGACCTTGGTTCGTAATCGTACCTAAAAGGGATCCACTCATGACCGACACTTTTTTATGGATTAAAACAATCTTCACAAAAACCACTTCATTCAAAGAATATTAATTGTCTGTTGTTATTAAGAAGTAATATTTCATGAACAGGGAATGTCCTAATTGGATGCCAGAGTTTGAAGTTAAATTCTACTATGGATTTCAATTTTTAAACTGTTTGAATGATCCACTTAGTATTGTTTGTTTGAACCTTCCCATTGATGTTTAGGACTGCAACTGGTCAGTCTCTTATTGGCCATATGTGCATACTATGCGTATTGCCTCAATATTGCCTTGATTCACAAGCTAGGACTCAGTGGCTGAGTGGATAACGCAATGGCGTTTGAAGCGAAAGGTACTAGGTTCGAGTCCCAGAGTGAAAATCAACTCTGAGATGCAGGTACATCCAGCTGACGAGTCCTAAATAGGATGAAATGCGCGTCCTGGATTTCACTGCTAGCCACTAGCCATTTTTGCTTGTTTGAATGATCGTATAAGATAATTTTATTTAGTTTATTACTGAATTATTCATTCTACATTATTCGACTACATTTTCACTGTACAACATTTATATTTGTTAATATATATATATATATATATATATATATATATATATCACTGGGTTATAGAAGATCGGGTGGGGATTTGTAGCAAGTATGATTTTCATTTGTAAATATATCTTAATCAAACATTTATACATAATAACTTAATAGTACAACTACTAATAATAACAGTAAAACCACTACTGTAAATACTTATATTTTACATAGTTTACATTATGGGTAACTATTTTATTCTAGTATAGGACTGTTTTACAACAATGTCCATGCACAACCCCACTGTTGATCGAACCCAAAACCTTCAGGCTTTATGGCTAGTGTTTGATCTTTAAACCACTGATCTGGTATCTAATGGTAACAAGTTTAAATTCAATCAACTCAGGAAATTTTTAAATAATCCCCATAATATTATTAACAATTCACTGCCTTACATTCCATATAGTTGAACTTAACTGGTCACGATTTCTTGCTGAACTCCTAGGAATCCCTATCTGAAAAAGGAGGGGTGTCTGTAGAAATGATTGGATTTCATGGTTTACATTTACGAACTGATTTTAGTCAGACAAACATATTACATCAAATAGGTTTATTTGAAGCAAAATTTAAAAAAGAAATAATCAAATAATAATAATTTATTTACCTGGTAAGAGTTTGTAACACCCGGATGATCAAGATCATGTGACAAAGCGGAGAATAATAGAATCAGTAAATCCACTGAGGATAAATACAATGGTAAATTTACCATTTTAATGATACAATACATCTGATAGAAAAGAGAAAAAAACAGAAAGCAAAGAAGAAAATAGACATAATACAATGGTCATATTGTTGTTTTCAACGTCATTATTTATAATATCTTTATTCGTTTATTTATTTGTGTATTTCTCCTTTTATCATTTCGATCCCAATTCATAATATTTGTATAGGTAGACAAACAAGAAAATATGAAAAAATTGTAGTGTATAGTTATTTCAATTTATTGTATAATCACTTTACATATTTCATAACTATTTTCTTTCGTCGATTGGTTGAAGTTAGATATTAACACCGTTGGATACCGGCCCAGTGGTCTGTCGACAAAGTGCTCTGGAGCAAGACTGGTAGGTCCTGGGATCGAATCTCGCTCACGAGGCTCGATCGTGGGTGCGCACTGCTGAGGAGTCACACAGTGGGACGAAACAGCCGTCTAGTGCTTCCAGGTTTTCCATGGTGGTCTAGCTTCAATTGACTCATTATCTCAACTATATTTTCTTTAATTGTTAACTATTACCAAAGATTAACAGAATATTCATATGGTTGACTTTGAATTTGAACTTAATTCATTTGTCTCTTAGCGTTCATCTGTTTTAATGAAGATTGTAGTATTGTATTAGTATAAATCGGTAATACTAATTAAATAGTATACTTGACTATACAATAATTAAAATAGTTATTCATTATAAGTATACAGTAGAGGTTAGTAGTTAGCGAAAAGTGAACCATAGACTATATATCGATGTATATATATACGTATAAATGCATATAGAGTAAATGCATTCAATCTTTGTCTTCTCTTAGATTTTGAGTTTATGAATTACATTATACTTTTCTATTGTTGAATCATATTGTATATGTCTAATCTCTTCTATTACCAGTAATATTGTATATATTAGTTCTGTTACTCTGACATTTGTCTTGATAATTTTTATTTGGCTGTATTGATTTGATGTGATAAATTAAGCTGATGTACATAAATGAGAGGTTCTATGTTGCTTTTGATCAACTGACTGACTGATAATGTAATAAAGTTGATCAGAAGGGGTTTATGTGGAGATTTCAGTATTTTTAATAGTTCAAATCATGAGTCAATTAAAGCTAGACCACCATGCAAACCTGGAAACACTGCCTGACGGCCAACTCGTCCTATTGTGGGACTCCTCAGCAGTGCACATCCACGATCCCGCACTCGCGAGATTCAAACACAGGACCTACCAGTCTCGAGCCAGAGCACTTAACCGATAGACCACTGGGCCGGCATCCAACGGTGGTAATGTCTAACTTCAACCAATCCACGAAATTTTAGCAACCGTTCGCCAATTTTCTTCAGTGAGTTGTTATCTCACAACAGACGTGGTTGAACTCCACTGGTCACTGCTTCCCACTAGAACTCCAGGACATATATCTACAAGTAAGTCACTAGTGAGCATATGATTATAATCAAAAGGGGTTTTTGTGGAGATTTCTCGAGACTGGTAGGTCCTGGGTTCGAATCTCGCTCACGAGGCTCGATCGTGGATGCGTACTGCTGAGGAGTCCCATAGTAAGACGAAACGGCTGTCCAGTGCTTCCAGGTTTTTCATGGTGGTCAAGCTTCAACTGGCTCATGATTTCAACTAATAAATTTGAGTTGAGTGGAGGTAAACTGCGGTTATTTTGAGATTATTTTATAGAGAAACACGATATTTTAAAGTATATTCTTAGAAAATGATGCTTGAATTTAAGTAAAATTTGTCGACTGAAAAAAAACTTGAGAAACTTTACAAAACTCATTTCTTTACTATACATATACAAAAAATCTTACTGGAATCTGGACATCAGATTTCAGTGTTTAAGAATACATTTTTTCACGAGGTCATGAGTATTTTAGAGTATTGAACTATAATTCATACATATGGTTTGTTTGATAGGATGAAACGTGCATCCTGTATTCAATTACTAGTTATTATCTAACTCTGTTGATTGATATTCAGGTAACTAAACATGATATTCAGATAGACACCAATCTGATAACAACCTGGATGAACTCTTCAAAATATCGAGGAATGACTAAATTTTATTTGCTAATCGACAGAAGATAAGTTTTACAGTCAGAAAATATTTCCAAATAAAGTGTTCGTATTCCGTGGTCAACTTACATTTTATAAGAAAGCGTTTTTTATGTACCAGTTCAAATCTCAACTCAAAAACATTTACAGTCAGTGTAACACATACAGACCTACAGTGAAAAAGCATGCACATTTGTACTCATCTCATTGGCAAAGTGATAGTGTAAACACTGAAGATCGGTGTTAGTAAATGTCAGTTTCATCGAAGAAAAAAATATATATACATTTCGGTTACTTAACTAAAAGCATCTTGGGATTTTGTAAGTGAAACCTGTCGCTCAATGGAATAAGTGGATTCCTTTTAGCTCTTTTATTTATCCAACTTTCTGTCGAAAGCTATTTAGTTGATATGGTGCATATGTACTGTTATTTGCTATGTTAAATACTGCTACACGATTTAAATGAATGAATTACAAATTAGCGGCAAAATTCACAACATGAATTCAGGCTATTTAGAAATGATTCATTAACTTCCAAAGGACGAATGGAAAAAAACAGAACATTTCAGCTGCCAGTAACGATAATATGGTGAAAGCATGTGAATGTGTTGTGGTATATGTTACTTATATCTGTCGACATAAGTAATATGCAACACAGATCAGAAGTTGAGTGCCTGGCAGCAGAAGGTTAAAAAGAATTAAATTGAAGGGAAAAGAAATGTAAACAAGTCGTAACTGTGATAACAACAGAAATGGAGGAACGATGAAGTATGTGATAAACAATCCATTGAAAATGTGAAAATGAAGTATTTAAAGTAAGATTTTCATATTTTATCAGGAAATTCTGTAATTTTGTATTAAACAATAAGTTGGTCTTCCGTACATGAGTTTTCGTTCGCTACAGTGAATATATATGGAAATTTATAGAGTAATTATCTAGCACGATACTAAAAATTAACTGCTCTCTGTGCACATACGCTATTTCAAGGTGAAAATCTACGTCAGAAATTAGAACTGAAATAAGCTGTTAATAAATGGATTCGGTCAAGCACTTAGTCAAGATCCCACTAGCTAACATTTCCCTGTTTATGTCAGAATGATAATCGTATATGCATACACCTACGAATTGATTGATCACTGGGTGGTGATAGTGTCGATAGCATTCGATCAGCACTAAAAAGGACTTGACACGCATGACATTGATCCCCACCCAGTGATCAATCAATTGTGATTATATTATGATTCAGTTTAGCAATTAAGCCTTCCCATTCATTTCACTCTTCTCATTTGTACTGTGGGTATATAATAACTGAATCAAACTACTGAACATAACAATCTTCTAAGAATTACTTGTCATTTGGAACTTTGAGAATCATATTCATGAGAAAATTACAACTTGGATCATTTCAGCCATACACTATTTTTATGTTATATTACTTATATTATGAGATATGAGAAACAAACAATAGAATAAATTTGGCGTATTTAATGATTCTGAACCATTGTGACCAAATAAGATATTTACAGTTAGTTCATTAAAATAACTTCAAAGTGTTGACAAGACAAAACAATTCACTTATTGTTACATAAGTATATTCATTTAGATACAATAAATGAATTAAATCAAACTGTCTAGCTAATAAAATAATTATCAACCTAATATAAATGAATTACAATTCCCTCTCTCTCTCTATTTCTCTCAACTCTTAACACATTACATCTTGTCGTGTTCATAGTTATTAATAAAAATGGTAAGCACGTATAGAATTGATTATCACTATTATTATTATTATTATTATTATTTAATTTTAACTAAATGATGACGTGTATAGAGGACGATTTCGAATAGGCGGTGAACATAGTAACAAAACAACAACAACAACAAACAAACAAACAAACAAAAGATAATAGACATTATGAATGTTAGAGACTTTTTAATGATAAAATCGAATCATTTCCATTATGTATCAATATTTTTGAATGAAACACGACAGATCACATTTATTATTTCATTAGAATTATTTTAAAAAAAACGAAATAAGTCGGGAAAAAAAAGGATACTTTGATTAAAACACATTAATATATATCTATATATCATGCTATAATATAATGTAATATTATCTTATATTAGACGATAATAGATTGAAATTATATAATAGTTTCTGTTAGAAGGATAATATTCTAACTGATTAATAGGCTTAAATTACGGAATCAGTCAGTCAGTCAGTCAGCTACAACGTAGGACCAGGCACATATATGCATCGGTCTAAATCGCCATAACTCACTCATCAGCACAACAAGATGAACACCGAATTCATAGAAGTAGTTAATTTAATGGTGGTTATATATAAAAGATATGTTGTATATAAGGATATAGTATAGGAAGGAAGAAAGATATGAAGCAATTTTAATCTCAAGGTTTAAGAGAAGATAAAGAGTGTATACTCCTACCCCATTGTGATCGACTTTGAGCCATGTCACCCAAAGTTTGCAACCATTGGTTACGATAGTCACATGGACCCCAACCAAGTAGTCTGCATCTACTAACATGGCTCAGACTAGAAGTTAGTGACTTTAAGCTCTGATGCCACGTTTTGGTTTGGCCGCCCCTAACTCTCTTCCAATCATCCCTAAAACTAGTCAGCATTGCTCATCGTGGTAATCGGTGTTCAGGCATACATAACACGTGGCCTAACCATCTCAGTCGATGAAGATTCATGACCACTTCAATTGATTTACCATCATTCCCTAATACCCTGTGTCTAACCTCACTGTTACTAACCCTGTGATCCCAGCAGATGCGAGCAATATTTCTAAGGCATCTGTGGTCAAATAGAAAATCACGGAATACATAGATGAGTTCATTTTTTCCAACTAAACAATATTAGTGGATGATTCAAGATGTTACAAGATTATTGTGTAAATATATAAACTTTATACAATATAAAGTTAAATATCTC